GATTTAAGGTATGCATTCTATATTAAAAACTACAAGGAACAGCCCTCTGGGTTTGTGCGCAATGGTGACGTAGGTCTACGTGGTATTATACAATTAATCTTATTCGTTAACAGCTTGTATTTTGTGTAGGAATAGGAATTTGAGCGGAGTTTTCTCTGTTTATACTCTTTAGTATGACGCGCTTGACATAGATGGCCCACAGCTACTCATGAAGAGCTACTGATTCCGATCAATAGCGGTGCGGCTTCTTCCTCCTTCTATGAATGCTCATCTGGGGTATGGCTCGCTGCTTGCAGTCAGCCTTTCGTTGTGTGCTGGAGAACACCATCACTCACCACGCGGTGATTGAATAAACACCGTTTGGTGAGACCGGTTGGAACTCAACTGTGAAATCTGGAAATCGCTTTTCGCAGGCAATCGGTGATAATTTTAATTATCACAGCAACAGTGCACATTCGTGCAATTTTCAATAGTGACATTTTGAAAAAATGATAATGTCTTAATTTTAGCAGATTTGTAGAAAATATTCCTATCGATTGGCGTATTAAGAATTAAAATCCATCATCTCTGGATCATAATCAAACCACTTTCATGCCGCGACCCCCAATGTTGCCTTAAAATACATGGTATGTTAGATTTAAACATATCTATATAGAGCTGGAATTAGGCGTAACAGCTTTTGCAAACAATGACTTCTCTCGATGATTTTTAGGAATTCAAGGCATGCCCACGCAAACTAACATTACCGTCGGGTATCGGGTAGAGGAAGTGTTAAACTACATAATGGTGATGTTGATTTGCGTGGCCAAGCCTTAAATAACAAGACATCATCGAAAGAAGTCATTGTTTACAAAAGCTGTTACGCCCTAATTCCAGCTCTATCTGGATATGAGAACAAACATCCGATTGATGACCTTGACAAATGTCCAAAAATACTCTTTTACAAATTTATGGTGGTCCTGAAAAGGACAGTTTTGTCGTTATGGTTTAGTAATGCTGAGCTATTAAGGTGTTAAACACAGATGAGGCTGGTGAGCTGTATGTTGTTTGGAATGAGTGTGACGCGCTTGGTATAGATGGCCCACAGTGACTCACGAAGAGCTACTGATTCCGATCAATAGCAATGCGGTTTCTTCCTCCTTCTATGGATGCTCATGTGGGCTGCAGCTCACTGCTTGCAGGCAGCCTTTCGTTGTGTACTGGAGAACAATGTTCAACACCATGTGCCGATAACACTGCTGTTGCTGATGCCGACGACCGGACACCACCACACACGGTGACTGGAACTGAATCCGATCAGCGATTGAGACCAGCCTTGGTTGCTAGCTGCTTGTGGGGAGCCTTTCGTTGTGTACTGGAGAACACCAACACTCACCACCCGGTGATTGAATAAACACCGTTTGGTGAGACCGTATGGAATTCAACTTTGAAATCTGTGGTAGGGAAATCGCCTTTTTCAGGCAAACGGTGATAATTTTAATTACCAAAGGAACAGTTGCACATTCTTGCGATTTTCAATAGTAAAATTTTGAAAAATGATAAAGTCTTAGATTTAACAGATGCGTATGAATATTACTAATCGATTAGAGATAAAATTATTGAAATAGTTCAGGGGCAGCTGAGTTATTAACATTCAAAATCTTTCATAATTTTACGTGTTCCATTTTCGGTCCATCCCTGGCAGCACATTGACAGATCTATAATTATGACTGTCTATAACACAGGGGCGGGATGTGCTATCAAATCGGCCTACTGATCATCCATCGATGTAAATAGGTAAGACCCACTGAATTGGTCGTCTCTTTCGTTCTCCCGTTGGTTAAATTGTTGAAAGAGTGTGACGTCATACTCTGTCACCAATTCCAACAGACGGAGAACGAAAGAGATGGCAAATTCACTGGGCCTCACCTGCTTACACTCATGGATTTTCCATATGTGAATTTGGCTCCAAACATCAACAAACCATCGTTGCTTGCTGTCGTTAGGAACCAGTTATGCGCGTTATGTGAGCTAGGCGACGATTGTTCGTATTTGACAGTTAGCTCCCCCCCCCTTGCTATGACAGTGACAGCTAGTTCGCGCACGCTCGTTTTGTTTTACTCTAAAGTGAGTAACTTCTACTCAGTTCGGTATTTTTACAAAATGTCAAAAACTGAGTAACATTTATTTAACAAACTAAGTAACATTAACTCGGTTTATAGTAAATTAAAGTTTACTCCCTTTTGAGTAATCCACAACAAAAATTACTCATCGTTCTTTTGTAAAAAAAAATATAAAATTATCGTTCCGTTAAACCCCTTTGCGTCAAACTGTAACAATTAATAAGTGTGGAATTCACGTCGACGAACTGCATTTGCATCGTTGTAACTTCTTCTGAAACCAACGATTATCACTAGGAGGTCAAATTCTCCGTCAAATTTCCCCGAGCCCGACACCATGTGCCCTGACTAAACAATCGACATCGACATCAAAACCAGAAGACCCCGTCTATTTTGGTCAGAAACGAAGGTTACCAATTCCAGAAGTAGCGTTCTTGTACTCGTAGTGTCCGGAACAATTCCGTCACTAGCATGTTTGAAGTGTTGGTAGGTGTATGTCTGGTTCTGTGATCGAGGAATTGTTGATAGATCGAATTAAATTTAATTTCAGGAGTTCGAAACATCCCATGTTGACGTTAAAAATCTTGCAATGGATCTTTATTGCTATAATATTTTGTTTAATATGCTGTTTTCCAATGATAATTCAAATTACTCATTTTATGAACCGATCAATTATATAAGAACTGTATAATATTTACTCACTTCCGTTAATTTTATTAAAACTAGAACTGAGTAGAAGTAACTCTAAATTTGACAGATGCACCCATTACTCAAAATTGAGTAACTATGTGTTTACTCACTTTAGAGTAGTTCGGCTTTTACCGAAAGTGAGTAGAATTCTACTCACTTTAGAGTAAAATTTAATGAGCGTGTGTGGTGGATTTGAAAACGCACGAATATCTAATGCGTGTTGCAAAATGCATCGTACGTGTAAGTTGATTAAAGATGTAAAACAGTGTAAACAAATAAATTTTAAAATTTTCCCTTGATTATAAATGTCTGTTAATATCTCTGAAAAAAAACTAAAAAGTCTGTACATGTCTGTACCGAAAAAAAAGTCAGTGAAAACAATAAAAGTCTGTAAATTCACAGACACAACATCTCTGATCCCAACATAAACTGGTCCTTCAAACCGGATATAACAAAAAAGATAGCAAATTTGGTACTTCAGCAAAAACTTATTTTAATTTGTCCAAGTCTGCGTTTAAGAGTATAATTAGGAACTTAGGTTAACAATCAGTCTGTATAGCTGTATGTAAGTCGACCAAGAAGCCTCTATCGAATGGAGAGCCAAATCAATAAAATAGTTTGCTGAAAAACTATCGAAGAAAGCACCAGTCTGAACATGGGTCAATGAATCACACTGATTGGATCTTGAATTCATTTGAACATTCGATTAAGAGTATGGATTGGTAATTTGCCTAGAAAAATCTTGCGAATTGGGAGTCTGCTAAAATTGATTTGTAATTGTATTTCCTTCAACTGAGGAAATCTGTCTCCTTTATTTCGAAGGCAATAGTGGATAAACTCTTCATCTATCCGATAATTAGTTGGAGTGGGCTGTACTGCTCATTGCTCCAACTCTTCGAGAGCATAACAGACTTAAGGAATTATCCATGCTTTTTATGAGCCATTACCATTACTGAAAAAGCATGAGTAATTCTGGGTCTTACAATTATCAAGTTATTCCAGTCAATTCACGGTTTAAGTTTTAAATTTTGATCAATTTCGATTCCACAATCCCAAAAAGCTTTTCAGACTAATGTATTCAGATGGTCGTAGGTTTCAAATGTATAGGTATTTCAACACTTTAAGCAAATACATTCTTATTAAATTTAAGATTCACTTCAACCATTCTCCCCCAATATCCCTCAACGGTTCCATTCTATTATTTATTTTGCACCTTCAGGATTACCTGCGGCTCGTTTAAATTCTCAACTCCCTCACCACTGCCCACCCTTGATGCCATCCCTTTCAGCGACCAACCGTTTCGCCACTCTGTCACTTCCTTCTTTCCTACAATCCTCCTACTTACCACGACGACGGCGGCGGTGGGTTATGCTAATTTTCTGCAACATTGCGCGCGTATTTCAAAAGCAGCCTGCCACCAACTGCATTGAATGTCTGTTGTTGTCCCCCGCCTGAGCTTCTTCCGCTCGAGATTCCGCACTTTTGAATTCACCAAAATAACACACAGGAGAAGAAAAAAAAACCCCGAGCGAAAATGTATTCAATATTCAACACCTCTCCTGCCGCCGATTGTGGACTTGTTGTGGGGCGGGGGAGGCTGAAAGGAAGACCTCGTTCTTACCCGGTAGCACAGCTTCCATCTCGCTCTCAGTCACAGAAGATCTTCTTTGGACCGCGCACGCCGCGGTCCGCAAATTCAAACATGCCGAGAATGCCGCGCTAACCATACGGTCGAAGAAGAAGAAGAAGTGGAAGAAGGTTTCGCGGACATAGGAAAAAAAAGGGATCTCCGAGGTGCAAAAGCTTTTTATCCGCCGCTGCCGCGGTGACCTCGGGCAAAAAGGTGTTAAAATGGGTCTCCAGCCATCGCCGAGAAGTGCCAACAAGGCGGCGGACGTTGATTTTCGTCGGTTTTTGTGTGTCTTTGCGCTTGATCTGTGAGATCGTTCCCGAATGGGGAAAGGAGGTGGTTGACAAGGGGGGGAGGGGGGAGGGAGAGGGAAGAATTATGTGCAGATGAGAAACATATGTTCAAACATAAATTCACACTTTCGCGTGTGCTACGAGGTTTTTGGGGAGCAAGGGGACACGGGTCAAACTTGTCGGTTGGCAAAGGGCAAATGCGGAACCGTTGTAGATTTGTTTTAAGTGGAATGGCCTTAAATAATTTCACTAATAGTAATTTGTTTTCTTTTCTTCGTCTACTTCCAGGCCTACGAACTATCCACCCTGACCGGCACGCAAGTGATGCTGCTGGTGGCCTCCGAGACTGGTCACGTGTACACGTTCGCGACGCGCAAGCTGCAACCGATGATCACATCGGAAGCGGGCAAAGCGCTCATCCAGACCTGTCTGAACTCGCCGGATCCCCCCACGGGATCCAGCGGCGATCAGCGGATGTCTGCCACCGGGTTCGAGGAAACCGAACTCAGCTACAACATCGGCGACGAAGATTCGAAAGTAAGACAGCTAGTTTACGGCCACGGCCACCACGGGCATGCTCATCTGGGACATCCGCAAACCGGGCACTACGGTCTCGATCAGAGTCTGATGCAGCAGCCCTATCCGGTCAGCGGGCAGGGCTCGCCGCTGTCTCACGCGCAATCCTACCCGCCACATTCGGGCCATTCGCACCATTCGCACATCCCGCATCACTCCCACACCGCCCATATGACCCATGCACACGCGCAACGGTAGTCAAGAAGGGGTCGGTCGGTGGCCGTTGCGATCGGGTGGCAACAAATTCCTCCAAAGCAGGGTTTTCGTTTCGATTTATTATGCTTTATTGTTATGGTAATTATTATTTGTGTGTGTGTGTGTGTGTGTGAGTGCGAGGGTCCATCCGAAGGCTCCCTTTCGCGCTCGCTGTCTCCGGGTGGGTGCCAATCAATCCGGTCCGCACCGGTTTTTCCTTTGGGAAGAGGACGACCCGGGTGAGGACCAAGTGAGTGTGTAGAAATGTTTAAGGAATACGTCCAATGCGCGGCAGTCTTTCACTTTCGGTGGATTTTGCGGTCGTCGGTGGCGTCACGGTGGGTTCCGATGGGTGTGAAATTTCAGCAAGAAATAGTTTCGAAATGTTTTAGGCTAGATAACAAATCTGTGGCAAAAAGTTACCCCGTTAGATTGTGCTGATCAAAAAGATTGGGTCGATGAGTCAATCAAATAACAGTAGCTTTCTTGGTTGAGTGTTTAACGAGCTTGAAGCTGCAGTGCACAGTGGGCTAGGAATGTAATCTAGCAGGCCAAAATTAATAACTCCAAAACGAAGCATGATTTACATGTTTTCAGCAAAGTTACTTATTATAATTTGGACCATCTTTGGGTATGATCCAATAATTCGAAACTGATCTGCACAGCAGGCGTCAAAACTTAACCTTTAACTCTTACATTATAGAGACTTTTTCGTCTTGGACAAAGTTGTTTATCTCATAAAAACGTGTTAAAAATGTTTTTAACCATTATTTTTCGATATTTTGATAAGTTGTATTTTTCACTTTCTGCAAATGCACATAGTGTACACAACTTTAACTAAAGATAAACCGCCAAAGCGAACCTGAAGTATTTTTGTGATTTAGTGCCTTGAGCGAAGTTTCTCACAATAATTAGGACCATCTATTTAGGACATCACCAGATTAACAGATAGTTCAATACTCAACCGTGTAGATGGCACCAAAATCTTACGAAAATATTACTCTGGCATTTTGGAGGATTGACGTCTTGGACAAAGTTGTCCAACTTATAAATATAACGAACTCGTCTATAGACGTTAAAATTCCACATCCGAGTTATTTCGAAAACAATTTTTTTAACCGTTTTTCCAATGCATTTGGATATTTTTATGAACAAGCATGAAAGTTAATCTTTTTCCTGGTGTAAAAACACTTAAAACTAAACTTTTCTAAGGAATGGACTGATTTTAGCCACACTGTGTCTTCTGACGTTCGTAGGCGTCTTCTGGATGCATACGTTTGTCGTTTTCTGATCTTCTGACGATTTCTAGGTGCTTTTTTAAGCGATTCAAGGCTTATTTTAGATTTCTTGAGACGACTTTCTGCGTCTTCTGACGTACTGAACAATCCAGGCCGGCTATGCGAGTCGTTTGACTCGTTGTCACTAATGAGGTGACAAAAGTCACGTCGTGTGCGGTGAGCTCTTCTTGCAAATCAAATGGAGAGTACCCTCACACGACGTGACTTTTGCCACCTCACTAGTGACAGACCCTCTTATTCTGCGAGTCACGTGACTCTCTTTCACTGGTGAGGTGATAATTGTCACCTCTTGTGAGGTAACTCTTCTTGCAAATCAAATGGAGAGTCACCTCACACGAGCTTACAATTGTTGCCGCATCGGTGACAGAGAGTCACGTGACTCGCAGAATATGATGGAGAGAGTCGCACAACTGGCAGAGTGAGACGGATGTTCTGAAGTCTGAATTAAGCCGTTTTCTGATGAATTAACCGTTTTTGGCGACTTTAGGCGTCTTATGACGATCTAAAGTATGTTCTGAAATTCTGACAACTTCTGCCCTAGCAGCACACTTATCACTTATCAGTTGTGGTTACCTGTAGTAAACTTATTTCAGTCACAATCAAGTTGCGACAACTTATTTTGATGAACGTGTGCTTCTTGGGTGGTGTCTTTGAAGGCTATCCTCTTTATTCTGCGAGTCACAGACAGAGAGTCACGTGACTTGCAGAATAAGGGGGATTAAATTAAGCGTCTTAAAGCTACTTTATGCGCCTTTTAACGACTTAAGATGTCTTCTAACAACTTCTAACGACTTTTATCGTCTTTTGTTAACAGATTTTAGGCGTCTTATGTCGACTTATTTTAGGCGTCTTATGTCGACTAATTTTAGGAGTCTTCTTACGATTATTTTTTTGTTTTTTTTCTAATGACTTAAGGCTTATTTTGAATTTTAGGAGATTTCAGGTGAATTAAGAGGCTGTTTTGAAACTATCCGTCTTTAATGCATCGATCGATTATAGACGTATTTATCGTCTTTTAACGTCTTCTGACAACTTCTGTTGAATTGAGGTGTCTTCTGACGACTTTTGATGGTTTGAGACAGGCTTTAAGCGGTTTCTGACTACTCACTTTAGGCGTTTTTCTGACAAGTTAAGTCGTTTCCTGACGTATCTTCTAGCTTTCTAACGACTTTAGGTGCCTTAGGAGGCTGTTTTTAAACTACACGATTTAATTATACTCTGCATTTTTGACTACGATCTAATGCGCCTTCTTACGACTTTTGATGGCTTGAGGCATCTTCTGACGGTTCTGAAGCGTCTTCTCACATCTAACTTTTTTTTCTTTGGTTTTTTTTCCGTCGATTTTGATTTCCGTACTGAGTACCAATGCTCCCACACCTGGACCCTACCTAACGACCCATCAACTCAAAGACCAACGGCTTTACTTCCCTCAGAGATTTTATGCCTCAGGAAATCCCGTTTGTGTGGACTGACTTTAAACTTTTTCTAACGACTGATTTTAGGCGTTTTTTTATGACTTTATTCATCTCCTGAAAACATTGCCCATCGAACCATTTTAGCTGCAGGCCAACTTATACAGCCAAAATTTGCCTGATGCTGATGATGATTTTTGCCTTTATAAGCTAAGTTGCTGCTAAAATAGTTTGTTGTGGCAGTTTCTAAAATAGTGACTACTTAAAGCGGTTACATGGTTACATTACATTAAGCGTCTTTTCGAAGAACGCCCAATGATTGTAGGCGTCTTCTGACGACAGTACACGTCTTTTAACGACTTTTGGCTTCTTCTGAGGACTTCTGACAGCATTAGGCGTATTTTGTTGAGTAGCTTAACTGAAGACATAAGGCGATTTCTGGTGATTTTAGGTGTCTTCTGGCATCTTTAGGCATGACGATTTAAAGCGGCTTCTGTCGACACTTTGCAGGCGTCTTCTGACGATTTTAGCCGTCTTCTGACAACTTTAGGCGTCTTCTGACGATTGTCTTTCGGCATCTTCTGACCAATTTAGGCATCTTCTGACAACTTTAGACGTCTTCTGACGACCTCGACAACTTTAAGCGTCTTCTGACGAGGCCTCTTCTGGCCACTTTAGGCGTCTTTTGACCACTTTAGACGGCTTCTGCAGATGGACGGTATCATGTGACGATTGACTATAGTCTTATTCTGATGATTTTAGGCATGTTCTGGAGACTAACTTTAGGCGTTTTCTGATGACTTTAGGTGTCTCCTGATGACTTTAGATGTCTGCTGATGACTTTAGGCGTCTTCTGATGACTTTAGGCATCTTCCGATGACTTTAGGCGTCTTCTGATGACTTTAGGCGTCTTCTGACGACTTTATATATCTGCTGATGACTTTAGGCGTCTTCTGATGACTTTAGGCGTTTTTTGGTCACTTTAGTCCTCTTCTGATGATTAACGGTATTTTGTGACGATTGACTTTAGTCGTCTTCTGATTACTTTAGGCATGTTCTGACGACTGACTTTAGACGTCTTCTGATAACTTTAGGCCTCTTCTGGCCACTATAGGCCTCTTTTGGCTACTTTAAGCGTCTTTGGCCTCTTCTGGCCACTTTAGGCATTTTCTGGCCGTTTTAGGCGTCTTATGACGCTTGCCGGTATATTGTGACGATTGACTTTAAACGTCTTCTGATGACATTAGGTATGTTCTGACGACTGACTTTAGACATGTTCTGAGGACTGATTTTGGGCGTCTTCTGATGACTTTAGGCGTCTTTTGGTCACTTTAGTACTCTTCTGATGATTGACGGTATTTTGTGACGATTGACTTTAGTCGTCTTCTGATTACTTTAGGCATGTTCTGACGACTGACTTTAGGTGCTTCTGATAGCTTTAGGCCTCTTCTGGCCACTATAGGCTTCTTTTGGCTACTTTAAGCGCCTTCGGACCACTTTAGACCTTTTCTGGCCACTTTAGGCATTTTCTGACCATTTTAGGCATCTTCTGACGCTTGAAGGTATCTTGTGACGATTGACTTTAAACGTCTTCTGATGACATTAGGCATGTTCTGACGACTGACTTTCAGCATGTTCTGAGGACTAATTTTGGGCGTCTTCCGATGACTTTAGGCGTCTTCCGATGACTTTAGGCGTCTTCTGACCACTTTAGTCGTCTTCTGATGACTTTAGGCATGTTCTGACGACTGACTTTAGGCGTCTTTTGCCAATTTAGGCCTCTTCTGGCCACTTTAGGCGTCTTCTTACCACTTTAGACATCTTCTGATGATTGACGGTATTTTGTGACGATTGATTTTAGTCGTCTTTTAATTACTTTAGGCATGTTCTGACGACTGAATTTAGGTGTCTTCTGATGAGTTTAGGTATCTGCTGATGACTTAAAGCGTTTTTTGATGACTTTAGGCGTCTTTTGGACACTTTAGTCCTCTTATGATGATTGACGGTATTTTGTGACGATTGACTTTAGTCATCTTCTGATGACTTTAGGCATGTTCGGAAGACTGACTTTAGGCATGTTCTGACGACTGGCTTTAGGCGCTTCTGATAACATTAGGCCTCTTCTGGCCACTTTAGGCATTTTCTGGCCATTTTAAGCGTCTTATGACGCTTGGCGGTATATTGTAACGATTGACTTTAAACGTCTTCTGATGAAATTAGGCATGTTCTGACGACTGACTTTAGGCATGTTCTGAGGACTGTTTTTTGGCGTCTTCCGATGACTTTAGGCGTCTTTTGACCACTTTAGTCGTCTTCTGGTGACTTTAGGCATGTTCTGACGACTGACTTTAGGCATGTTCTGATTACTGACTTTAGGCGTCTTCTGATGACTTTAGGCATCTTCTGATGACTTTGGGCGTCTTCTGACCACTTTAGACATCTTCTGATGATTGACGGTATTTTTTGACGATTGACTTTAAACGTCTTCTGATGACGTTAGGCATGTTCTGGTGATTGACTTTAGGCATCTTCTGACGACTGACTTTAGGCGTCTTTTGCCAATTTAGGCCTCTTCTGGCCACTTTAGGCGTCTTCTTACCACTTTAGACATCTTCTGATGATTGACGGTATTTTGTGACGATTGATTTTAGTCGTCTTTTAATTACTTTAGGCATGTTCTGACGACTGAATTTAGGTGTCTTCTGATGACTTTAGGCATCTTCTGATGAGTTTAGGTATCTGCTGATGACTTAAAGCGTTTTTTGATGACTTTAGGCGTCTTTTGGACACTTTCGTCCTCTTATGATGATTGACGGTATTTTGTGACGATTGACTTTAGTCATCTTCTGATGACTTTAGGCATGTTCTGACGACTGACTTTAGGCATGTTCTGACGACTGGCTTTAGGCGCTTCTGATAACTTTAGGCCTCTTCTGGCCACTTTAGGCATTTTCTGGCCATTTTAAGCGTCTTATGACGCTTGGCGGAATATTGTGACGATTGACTTTAAACGTCTTCTGATGAAATTAGGCATGTTCTGACGACTGACTTTAGGCATGTTCTGAGGACTGTTTTTTGGCGTCTTCCGATGACTTTAGGCGTCTTTTGACCACTTTAGTCGTCTTCTGGTGACTTTAGGCATGTTCTGACG